GCTTTCAAACAGCAGCAGCCCCATGGTTCGGAGCATTTTTCGAGAGACAGGTCCAAACCGTCAAAAGACCACTCCGAAAAATCCTAGGCTCAGCCGTTCCACACTTCCGAGACCTAGAAATCATTATCTCAGGGATAGAAGCGATGGTGAACAGCCGACCGATCACAGCGGTAGCTTCAGGAGCTGACGAGGTCGAAGCCCTCTCCCCAGCAAACCTACTATTCGGTTATAAGGGAAAAACCATAATTCCGGAACACCTCTCGAAACCCAAGAGGTCAGCAGACTCCGACAAGGTCGTCTTCTCTAGGAGATGGAAGTATCAACAGCGCCTCCTCAGTTCGTTCTGGAGAAGATACCACGAAGAATACCTCCAATACCTCAAGACGGCCCACAAACCAATCTCGGCAAGGCCTCTGAAAATCGGAGACGTATGCCTACTCCAGGGAGAAAGTTTCAACAGAGCACTCTGGCCGCTGTGCAGAGTGATCTCATTCCCCGAAAACGTCAAACCAGAAAACGCTAGATCATGTTTCATCAGAACAGCAAAGGGTCAGACAAACAGCAGGGGTTGCGTTTTTTGTGCCTTGAACATGGCTTCGAATTGGGTCAACAACGATTTGTGGAATTCGCGTCTGGCTCTGTTCAACGTCGAAACGAAAAGACCGATTCTGCCGCGCGCTTCCCGTTAGTCGATCCCTCCCCTCTCCATAGAGGAAAAATTCAAATTCGAATCAGCGGCGCGTGGCGATGCTTTCTGACAGAATTCCCGACACCGGGTGCCGGAAATTCCGGGGGGAGTGTGACGAACGGACCAGGTCCATTGCGCATACACTACACTCACAGCACACTATCTTTCCCAACAGATTCTAATTTCCCATAATCCATTCAACTATTTCCTCAGAGAGACCAGAGAGACTTATTGGGGAACTTCGGATCAAGGATCCATATTATTCATATCCATATTATTCAGTGTATTATTATCATATCAGCATCGATTATATCTCC